AGCTTTGAACTCAAGGCCAACCCAAACCATTCTTTCATTTCTATGATTTTACCATTGAAACATTAAATCCCAAAGTCCTTTCCCACAGAACTCAGGAATGCAGAGCCTCTCTGGGACAGGCTTCACCACACCAGATGGGGGGAAGAGGATCCCCCTTCCCTCAGGCCTCTGTTGGGCAGGGGTGGCTCCTGCTGGAGGGTCACCTGCAGCCAAGGAGGAGAATGAACCCTCACCAAGGGTCAAAATTCCCTATTCTAAGGATTTCAGGAGGAATTTCCTGCTGGAAAGGGTGGTCAGGCACTGGCAGGGGCTGCCCAGGGAGGTTTGGAGTGCCCAGCCCTGGAGGTGTCCCAGGAAGGCCTGGCCGTGGCACTCAGTGCTCTGGGCTGGGGACAAGGTGGGGATGGGGCACAGGGGGGATCCATGGGCTGGGAGGGCTTTTCCAGCCTCAGGGATTCTGGGATTCTCTCATTTAAAGCAGTGCAGTGACCAAAGGCCAAGGTCTGCACTAATCCCAGGATGTCAGCCTGGGACGCCCAGCCCTCAGCCTCAGGCCACTGCTCCATGTTTTCCCAGCAGTGCTTCAATCCCTCCCACTAAATCAAATTTCTCAATCAACACAGGAACCATCCTGTGTGGTTTGAAATGCAAACTGTCCCAAATCCTCCCGAGCCCACAGGGAGCCCACAGGGAGCCCACAGGTCATGGGGCCCTTTGCTGCGACGCGGGGCTCGTTCCCCAGCAACGCCACTGAACACACCAACACAGCACTCACCAGAAGATCATAAATCACATATCCCTCACGGTGACACTCACTTCCAGGCCCTGCCCAGCTCCAGCAGGATGTCTGACAGCCACCTTTTGGGTGTTAGGAGAAAGCAAGGCACTAACCCAGCCCAGGAAGTTAACTCTTCTCTGCACTGCAGGGATTTAGGCAGCTCCAGTGTTCAGGGATAAACAAATCCCTAATCCCACGTTACAGCAGCTCCCATTCCAATAGAATACTGGTTCAGCCTCTGGAACACAAGGGCTGCTATAAATAGCAACGACTCTTTCCCTCAGAACACTTCCAGAGGAGCTTTAACAGACTGGCCAAGGGGCTCCCACTGGTGCCCAGCCAGCCCCAGGCCCATCTGAGGGACTCACTGGTGACATCAAACCACCAAAACACAAGGGCTGCCCAGGGGACAGGGACAGGCACGAGGTAGATTCCAGGAAAAGTATGTTCAGGAAAGGGTTGGAGAGGGTAATGGGTATAAAAGGTGACTGGAATGCAGAAGGGAGACATCACCCTCACAGGAGACATCACCCTCACAGGAGACATCATCCTCACCCTCACAGGACACATCACCCTCACAGGAGGAGAACAGGGATGAATTAAAGATGAGCACGGAATTAGTGCCTCATTAGTTGTCGATAAGACATTTATCAGCCTCAGCAGGGCAAACTGGAATTCACTGGAAGACCTGGAAGGACACTGCCAGGTTTATAAAAAACCTCATGGGTTCCATATATTCAGATGAAGATTTGGAAATGTTCGTTACCCTTCAGTACATCTCACACCAGCAGCTGTGAGGAGGCTCCTCACAGGCAGAGCCTCCCGGGTCTCCGGTCACTTCTGGGTTCCAATTTCAATCCTCTA